TATTCCCTATTAATATTTTGCTCCTCAGGAAGTCTGTATTCTTTTTCCATTTTTCTCTAAGATCCAACAATTAGCTTAGGTTTGCCTCTAAGTTTCTTCACTTCGTGTTGGCAATTCTCTCATGAAGAGAGAATCTTGCATTCTCTCTTCAGGGTAGAGTCAGCAAACTGAAGGAAGTGTTTACTTGCATCTATTTGACACCTGTGAGGTCACACCCAGATGAAACATTGCTTCTGCACTTTAAAGCTCCCCAGTAAAAGGGACTGATGAACTGGAGAAAGTCCAATGGAGGGTTGCCAGTTTGGCTGGGGGATTGGGGCACATGACATATGAGAAAGGGCTAAGGGTGTTGGGTTTGCTTATCCTGGAGAAGAGGAAGGCTAAGAGGAGATCAAGCTGCAGTCCTCAACTACCTAAAGAGCATGTCACAGAGACAATGAGCTCCCAGACAAGCCCATCTAGTTGAGGATGTCCCTGTTCATTGCAGGAGGGGTTGGACTAGATGATCTTTAGATGTCCCTTTAAACCTAAACTATTCTATGATTTTATGAAGCCAGACTCTTCTCAAAGGCACACAGTGAAATAATAAGATGTAACACCTGGAAGCTGCAGCAAGAGAAATCCCAGCTGGATATAAGGAAAACAGTTTTACAATGTGAGTAGTAAATAACTGAAACAGCTTGTCCGGTAAGCAGGGCAGGTTTCCCAGAGAGAATGTGGAGTCTCCATCCTTGGAGAGTTTCAGATCTAGTCTTGACAAAGCCCTGAGCAGCTAATCTAACTTTGAAGTTAGCCCTGCTTTGAGCAGAAGGTTTGAATATACTGTAGAAATCCCTTCCAACATCACTTCCTAAATTATTCTGTGATTCATTATTAGGTTATGATTCTGCAGAACTCAAGTCAATATGAGTTTAACTTCTAAAAAAGAACCACCAAGCCATTCAGCAATATAAGTGAGTTTCATACCAACACTAGTAAATTGACGTTTACCCAGCAGATAGGCAGTCTGAAAACATTTGCACATTTACTAAGTAACTTGCTAAAATAATGCCATCTATATGCTCAGCGTATCCTAGTCACATTTCATAAAGAAAAGAGTAGTAAAGGACACTCCTATTTTTTTTAACAGCATGCATGTGTTTGATCTTACAGAGGATATATGGAAAATATCTTGTAAAATACATTAGGAAAATTACCATATGTACAGGTGTGAAACGTCAGGCACCAAGAACTGACTTAAACATATATCTTTTATGCAAGTTGCTGTTAAGTAATGAGAAAAGTGCCTGTTACTTAAGTACACACTATTGCTTATTTTAAAAATATAGCTTTTGTTTCACTCATTTTTATCAAAACTGACTAGCAAAAGCTAAAAATAAGTTCCTAAAGTTTATCTCCTCATCCTCCCAACAGGAATAATGCAAATCCTGGAGAAAGAGAAAATATTTAATTTACTTTTAATATCAGAAGAGTGCTTATTGTTTTTCATGACATGGAAATGAAATTGAGGCTAAGTTAGATGTGAAATCTAACCACAGTCCTCTAATGTTTCACATCACTGCCTTTCAATTCTTTGGTCTTTTAGTTTAATCTCTATTTGTCTCTAATCCAGTACCACATAAAGTCAGGTTGACCTGTGTAGTCAGCTGAGCTTTTATTTAGATTTTCTATGCTGAGGTTTTAATTCAAAAACTGAAATGTCAAAGTCAGAGGACCTGGAAATCTTTATAAGCAACCAGCCTAACGCAGTTGGAAGCAATCTTGAATATGTTCTGGGTGTGCAGGTTTCCCTGGCTCAGCATCACTAAACTGGAATATATCCTTAGTCAAACAACAAGAATGGATGATGAGTTTCAAACCAATGGGGGTCTGGAATGGCAAGCTTCAGTGTTATTAGCATTACAGTCATTAAACCCCATAAACGCAATTGTGAACTTCAACTTTTGCAACTGGTGGCAAAAAGTTCAGCACTAGCACAGGAGATATTGGTAGGAAGTAGAGGAGACACAAGAAGACCGGTACTTATCTTCCTTCCTAGAGCAGTGGAATATAAAGCAGTTTTGCCAACAGCTGTTACCTAAAACTCTTCCAGATAGCATGCTATAAATTCAATCATTTATAGATGCACCAAGTATGCAATTGAACACACAGCTCCAGCTCTAATTACAATAAATCTTATTCCCAAACCAGGGGACTAGGAAAGAAAGAGCTCTTAGAGCAAACAGTTCAGAAGAAAATTTACCTGTGATGGTTATTTTTGCTGACCATTTGGATGTTCCATCTAAAACACTTTGTTTTGCTGCTTTTGTATATTGTACAAAATCTTCTTTGGAAATATTAAACATTTCCTGGATCACTTCAAACACCTCTGGTCTATTTTTCTCTCTGATCTTCATTCTTTCCTTCATAGCACTAATAATATTCTGTGTTTTATCTTCTGCACCATGTTTGGAACTTTTCTCAGCAGCTCCTGAAATGAGAGAAAAGGTCAATACTTCTATTAAAAAGTTGTCTTTTTGTCTAGTTCTTTTTCTCCTCTAGAGTCTCCAGCCAATTCTTGGTACTGCAGTACTCAAAGAAGATATGCGTTTCATCTGGATAATATCAAGCCTCTTATATTTATTCTTTGTGATACCTAAAATTATCAATTGATTTAGTTTAACATGACAGGGTAACATTCAACTTCAGTCAGGTATGTGTATACCTAGAAATATATACTGAATCAGTACTATTAAGTACTGATCAGTACTGTGAAGACATCCAAACATGTGAGTAAATTTTCTTATGTAATTAGGCATACTGATTCTTCCAGAAAGGTGTAGAGAAGTGTTCAGTATCTGGGTCTGTCTGCTCTGCCCTTTGCCTCTGTTACCAGCTAAACTTCAGTAATACATATGTGAATAATTCTTCAAATAATTTTTTTTTTTTTCTAAATCAGCATGATACAACAACATTTTTATTCCTTTCTCTCTCTCCTTTTGAAGGAGGACAGTACAAGAAACCCTCCAAAATTCATAGAAACAGTATTTAAACCAGGTAATGTTTCCACCTCATTTTTCAGAGAATTTTTAATTTGACAGTAAGGAGATTAACCTAGACTCCTGCTATGCTCTCCCACCGTGGAAATCTAATGAACAGTAGAAAGAAATAGGCATAGCAGCTTCAGATGCTTTCTTGACTGCTTCCAGATACATCTCAATATTTGCTGATGCTGCCTGCACTTACGGAAGGTTTTTCATTACTTCCTGGAACAGTGCTCGTAAAAAAATGTTAATTGTCACATAAATCCATTTAACAAAGCATTCAAAATCTACCAAACTTAAGTATTCACTGGATTTAAGCATTTAGATTAGTTTGGGCCTACCCTAACTGTTAAATGGTTCTGTAACACTGAATTGACATCCTCACTCTGGATCAGTAGTGCACTCTGTCCCTTCTTTAAACATCATGCGCGAACAAAGGAGTGCTTCACAAAGCTCGATGGAATCTTCAGTGGAATCTTCTGATGGCTATTTAAGCCATTCTTCCATGCCCTGTCTCCCAAAGAGTAGACATGACATTATACTCAGGTTGCAGCTGAATAGATTAAAGGGAATGCCTTTCCAAGGATTCTAACACTGAAAGCAGCCGGGGAATTTCTGCAAGGAATACTGTGTTCCTCTCTCCAGTAAAATTGTCATTATTGATAATTTCAGTAAGTATGAGGATGGTAGAAGAGATCAAACGATATTATCTGTGTGAGAATAACTTCTAGACTGTATCAAGCTGCAATGGCATGTCAGGTCTGTCCTATAAAATAAGTCTGGAAAACAAAAAAATACTCAGGTGATTTGCTGATTTGTCTGGGACATCAAAACCACTACAGCTTTTACTGGGTTAAAGAGAGAGTATAAGGAGACCATGCTGTTACAGGTTTTATTCACAGTTCTTCCCAGGAGAGCTCTGGAGAGATTTCTCTCTTTAAAAATCATAACTGATCTCAGGCCCTTCAAAAGCCAAAGTGAAGTTCTCGTTATAAACTGTCCTTTGTCTGCCAGAGGAAAGTGTTTCTGATCAATGTCTCTACAATATATACTGTATTGGAATAACCTAAGTGTACTTTTGAAAAAAAACAAATGTCCATCTTGCAGTTGGGTGTGAGGAAAGAAACATCAGACTTGTGTGGTCAAAATGGTATTACAAATGTTGGAAGAAAAACTGAAATTCCTGCAGTGCTTAACAGGCTATTTCAACTCTTGACGAGACTGACATATAAAGCAAGATGCAAGAATACTAAAAATTTTATAATCAATGACACATTACCACTTGTTATAGGTATGGCTGAATTTTAGCTCGTGGTGTTAAACATTACTCAAGGGCTCATGGCACCAAGTGTGACAATCGTCATCATCATTATCACTAGCAGCAGTAAGTACTTTACCCTTCAAAAAGGTTGTGACAACATCATCCAACTAGCCACCCTCAGCTCCTGGGAGGATCAAAGTATTATTGTTCCCTTTAAATGGATAGTAAAATTCAGACAAAAGCATGTTGAACAACTTGCTATGGAATTAGAATTCAGATATTTTGATGCTGAAGAGGAACATAGTTCCTTCTTTAAAATACCAGCAAACACCATTATGTTCTTTTGATGGCACTTCTTGTTGAGGTACTCTCAGCTTGCAATGGCTAAAGAAGAAATGATCCACACATCCATAGAGCTGGAAAGGGTCATCTTTCAGCATAAGATCTCAGTGAAGTGTTACAGAATGAATATTTTATGCTTTGTTTTCTGTACTGTTTTCAGTATGTCTGAAGGTTTCTTAGCACATTGGAGGATGAGAGAGAGAGATACATATAGTAAAGTAGGAAGGCATAATGTCCTAAGATTGAAAAAGTGTGGGATAAGATACCAGTTACCAGTGATTCCAGATTGTCAAAAGGCTGAATTATATCGCTTCTTCAAGGTTTTTTCCATGGCTACTAAATCTTGAGAAATAGTGAAAATATCTTGGTCTGAGTACCTAATTTTTTGGAATGTGGAAGACCAAAGTTCTAGTGATTGAGGATTTTCCACACTGAAAAATTAAGAATTAGTAGAAAAAGAATTAAATGCTACCATGAAACCAAATACCAGTTAAAGAATTCTCTAGTGATTTTATCACAAAAGAGATGATTGCTGAGCTGCCTGGAAAGTGTGATAGGTGGTTCTTGCAAGATGCAGGAAAGCAACATTTTTCATTTTCTCTTATTTTCTGCCCTTCCTTAAAAAGTACAGATACAACATCATAACCAAATGATAAACCATGGACACAATCTGAATGGCAATAATGTATTCCTGTTGAAAACCTTGCTGATTTTTGAGACAGTACAGCTAAAATCGGAGTATATGTTAAAATGTAACTTCCTTTAAGTTTTACTGAAAAATCAGCATAGCCTTCTATTTAAACTAAATTATTTATTGCAGCTATTTTTACATCCTCTATTGCTGACAGTCTATCAACAGCTCTTTTCATGCAGTATTGATCAGACTAATTAAGACAATATCGTAACTTATATTGCACAGGAAGTTAACAAGCTCCTTTTACCCTAGGGACTGATACAAACTCAACGTGATTGAAATAAATTCTGATTTAATATTGCACCTACTACTAGAAAGCAGTATCTTGTTGAAGATGAGAAGTCTAATGAATGGACTACTGATTTTTTTTAAACCTAATTTAGAACAAGCTTCGATATTGACCTTAAAGAGGTTGAGAGATTAATTCATTTCTACAGTCTACATTAGCAATCATTACATATATAAAAAAATAAATAAAATCACAGAAGCTTGGAGGCCATATGTCCTAGTGATTATGAGATGGCCAAAAGGATGTCTGTGACAAAAATAACCACAGTGAACCACATTCATTTCTTTTTACAATACTCTTAGCATCAGCTTTCTTAGAGATTTAACCAACTGGTCAATTCATTTTTTTCAATGGAACATTAAATATTTTTAACATAAATGAAACAAAGTATGTGAACCTCATTTTCAAAGTAGTATAATATTGAACTCACTGAACAATTAATCTGTTGAAAAAAATATGACAGAATGCTCACAAACATTTGTATACTAATGGGAAGATCAGGATCCCTTAGGTGTGTTAAACACTTTTTTGTCTGTGGTTTGCCTTCTAGAGGTTTACTCTTACAAGACTCAGTTGTTCAATGTTTCCAAACTGTTTACACCATAGATAATTGCCAATCCTATTTATTTCTTGCAGGCTCTCTCTCAACTTTAGCATTTATATATTTGTAAAAATTTCTCAAAGGCAATGGTGCTCTTGGTGCTCTCAAGCATTTATTATTTTTTGGGGCTGGTGATATGGGCCAGGGAACCTCTGGGCTGAGATTTTCTTCAGAGAAGTAAAAAGAAAGATAAACAGGATACTTGGACTCTGTATGTCATTTGTAGCTTTTCAGTTTTAGCCAAGATTCAACTATTACAGGGATGGATACATCTCTCATGCCACCTGCATGGTTGTGGCACCCTGAAAAGCAGCTCAGCTCTTAGGAAGTCAGCAGCAGCTTATTTACTTGACAGTGGGAAGGGTGGAACATGAAGAAGGGAGGTCAGCATATAAATATCATGTGAAGGTGTTTCACCACACAGGGAGAAGATTACTAGTTTTGAGTGGTAATAACAGCTCAGCCCATCCATGAAGACATGGCAACAAACACCTGGAATCAGTTCCCTGTACTCTTGCTCAGAAGGAAGTGAACTGTGACTGAATTGGAGGTCATGCAAACAGAAATACAAAGGTATTACAGTCGGGCCTAGCTGGCTTGAATGTTGTTTTCCAGTGTGTACAGTGACAAGAGATTTCATCACTTTCAAGAAGCCTCAGAAAGAGCAATCTCTATAGCCATTCTCTATTATGAGAAATCATGGAGTAGATGAGGAGTGCATTACAGGACAGATGATTCATGAGACAGAAATAAATGCCCTTGCCATATCGAACTTCCAATACAAAAAAAAATTCCCAGCTCCCTCTAATGTAATTCAAAAAAGGACTGAATGGCATGCAGTAACTAGGTTGCGAAGCCTGGTGGAGGGTTTTCACAGATGTTTGGTGAGACAAGACCCCCCCAACTAACAGTAACAGAAAGGTTCCTCCAAACAGAAAGGCATGGTTACGATGCTCATAACCATTTGATCTTTGTGATACTTCATTACACTACTGTTAAATCAAGATGTCTTGTATGTGTCTCACCCATGGAGTCAATCAGTCCTGATTTTCTTAAATTAAAAATATTTCTGAAACAATGCGTTAGAATCATACCCTACTCTGTTAAATCCTCAGAAAGAAAATGTCTCCCTCTGATGGAGAAAGTTTCAGCTATGCTTTATTTCTAGATCATTATGTATGTAACTATGATAGGGGAATTCCCGCAATACTATATAGAACACTTGATAGTTATCTCTTTGCCACATAATACAATCAGCATTTTCAGGGAACAGCAGATGAGAGTCCTAGAAAAGTAGCTCCAAATCTAGCAACAGCCCAGTTCCTTGAATAACGTGCAGAGAGTAAGCTTCAATTAGAGCCACTGTGATTCATTCAGATTTGTTTTGAGGCCCTCCTACAAGATGAATCTCACATTCCATTTTGAGAATATCAGAATCAATTCAGAGTCCCTCCTCCATGTTTTCTTCCTCCAGTGCATAAATAGTGCTAAACAAGATGTGCATAAGGGGAGAGATTAAATTTAGGAAAGCTACTTCTACTTCCTACTTCCTCCATCAACTTAATGAGCAGATAGTTGGCAAGTGACTTGCACATATCCTGTTGCCAGCAGAAGTACAAGCTCATCATTCTTTTAACTCATTTTCATGCCTCTAAGTCCAGGTAATATAAATCAAGTGATTCCCAGCAGAACTAGAGTGTCAAATGGCTACCTAAAACAGAGAGATCAATGGGCTGATGCACAATTAATTATTTTAGCTAGTCTTAAAATGTACCTATAATGAAATGTGACAATTAGTCAATAAGAGTGAACAGGAACCGACATTATGAAAGCCTACCTTCTTTTGTTACTGTCCAGGTAACAGAAGCTACTCACACTTATTGAAGAAGCTACTCATAAGTATCTTCATTCATTACTTCATACATTTTTGAAAACTCACCACCAACAATCATATTAATGCTGCACAATATACTTTTATAATATTTCATTTTCAAAGCAAACATTCTTTTCTCATTTGTGAAACTATGTCAAAAGCTTAGCTGTCAAACACAGCCCAGTTTCAACCATAGTGTAGAATCACAATTACGCTCAGTTAAGTGGTTTGATTTAGAAATTTGTCATTGATTTATGCTCCATGGGGTCAGTTGCTCTGGGAAACTGCGATTAGTTCCTCAACAATATGAATCTTGAGAATCCATCCCTTGCGACAGCTCCTCACATAGAGAACACAGTGGGAAGAAAGAAGACCTGACTGGAATATATATGTACTTTTCCTACATGTAGAAGCTAAGTAAACCCTCAGGAACATATCAACAGTGAACAATGTGGAATAACTCCAGAGTTGTAAAAGTCCCTTCCATTCCAAAATCAGAATATCAAGAAGTTTGCAGGTCTTGATTTTCTATTGTTTAGAATCTTGTGTAGTAATCGTGTTGTAATTTAAGTATGGTTTAAATGCACCTCAGATATTTTTGGAGGAGAATGCACAGTGGCTGGAATTAATTTGGCCAATGAAAAAGCAAAGAAAAAGGTTGTTTCATCTTAATTCTAGTCCCAGAGGACCTCCTGACTAATATTTTTTTTTCCCTTACACATGCATGGTTTGGTATTTTGAGGGGACAAGACCCTATTTACTGTTTCATATTCTTGTCTATTCTATAGCACACTAATATGAGCACAATAAGCATTAGGAATATTTTTTTATCTTTGCTTTGACATTTCTTGTGTTCTGAGTTAAATAAAACAAAGAGGGTTTACATCATGTAACAAATTGCTCTGGGTGTTGCCATAGGCAGTGGAAAGTAAATAACGTACTGATACTAACAAACATTATTTTGTAACTGACCAGCAACATTTGGCAAGTCCCAACTACAAAAGCAAAATTAACTGCAGGTATTTCATAAAGCTTCTGGCTAGCTCTTCAGCCAATGAACATTAACATGCCTTCACTGATTTCTGATGATCTGGCCCTTCATTTCAGGAAATATCTTGAGTGTACACACAAAATCAAAAGGTGTGAAGTACTGCAAAGCTTTAGGTGTGAGGAAATACTCACTCTGCAAACAGTCAGCATTTAGGAGGTCTTGGCACTTCTCGTGGCATTTGACACCACATTCGGTGCATCTCATGCCTTGTCTGGCTATGCCCCAAAGTAGACCTTCACATTCATAACAGTATGTGGGAGTTGTAGCTGTCCAAACTTCAAAGTTATGAGGTGTAGTTGATGATATTGGATAGATCAAAGCCTGCAATGTCTTCCTGAAGACATGTATTTTCTGTTGGGTAAGAAAAAAGGAAAAAAAAAAAAAAAATCAAGACTTCAGTTGAAGTATTGTTTAATACAAGTGAACTGGAGCTAAAGTATATGTCATTACACTTGCAATGTTACAAAATATCAGAATACAGATAGAAGTATGAACTAATTCGCAAAATACTGATTTACTCATTTTGCCTTGCACTTTGAAGACAAAAGAACCCTGGATGACCATTGTGACTGATTACAGAAACAGGAGAGTTAAGTTGGAATCAGGTCAGTCAATTAACAGAGTCCTATATATTTTTAATATTTTGAGGCAGGAATTAAAATATTCATTAGTGTTACATTCACTGATGCATTTTAAGTAACTACTTAACACATTACTTCTGAATATTTAAATACTTCCTGCAGGAACTTAGACACACCGTACAAAATGTACTTTGATAATATACAGTGCTATCTTTTAGTGTCTATACAATCTCTTCATCAAATAAAAGTGGGCAAATTTTAAGGTTCCATTTTGTCGTATTCCATTAATAGCATACTCACTACTTCCTTTTTAAGCACCAAGATGCTTTTTACTTATAAACAAGAATGATTCATACTCTCAAAAATCCACACCCATTTCTTGGACTGTTTTGTCTTAGGACCCATGACCAGTTCTAGCAGAACAGTTATCAGCTATTCACTGATTAGTACTGCAAAAAACCTGAATCTCAGCTCCTTAGTGATTAATAAGGTGAAAACAAAGTAGTCCCTGAAGTTTTGTATATAAAACATAGGCTTATATGGCCAAAATGGTCTAGTTTGTTTATTTGAGCTTTGTTTTCAGGCACCCCGATCTTCTAAATCCAGTGGATTCATTGGGAATAAGAAAAACTCAGCAGCCTGTAGGCATTACTAGGCACTACATGAAAATATGACCTTGTTTTTTTGGTGGTTTTTTGGTGTGTTTTTTTTTTTCTTTCCATCACTAAATGCACACACGGCTGCTGTAAATGTGTTAGAAGTTCTAGACCTGTTCCCTTATAAATGAATAAATTGTTTCTTTTAGAAAGAAGAAACCACATTAAAAAAGGTAGCACAGTGGGAAGTGGGATATTTCTGAAAGTCTGTCTGTCCTGCCATCTCTTAATCTTGTGTGTATATAATGCAAGGTAGCTGTAATGCTGGCTGTGTAGCTGTGGCAAAGCGGGGAACAACATTTTAGTTTCTGTGGTTTATCCATATGAACTTTAACATCACTGCCACAGTTCTGATAGTATAGAAAGCAAGGATAACTTATTCAGTTAAGCATTTGTTAACATTCCCATAATTTTAATATTCAGCTGTGGTAAGTATATGCCAAATGCAAGATATTAGCCTCTCTAACAGCACGTTGACATGCTCTTGGTTTTATGTATCTGCATCTCTGCTCAAACATGTGAGATATGCTGCTAAGAATAAATTGTCTGACAAAAATGTTTCTTTTGTGGGTGCATATCTGCATAATGTTGCACAACCAGAGCCATCAATTAAAGAACTTTTGCTACCACGGGAAAAAGATTACCATGTAGCCATAAATCTACTGATTCATAGGTTCAAGTGTTACAAATAACAAAACCAGATGTTAAGTAGCTTAGGCTGCAACAGCTCTTATTGAAGTTCGCAGTTTCATGCCAAAACCAACATCTATCTTGTGAAGCCTGGCCAAACAAACGTGGTCAGACATTTCATGGGCATTTGATCCTAACACCTCTGAGAACACTGTAGAACTTACTAAAACAAAAACTGAATTGCTCTCCAGGGTGCTTTCTTAGTCTATCCTAGACAATTAGCCATCTAGTAACTCCCCTGAAAGCAAGCAAAGGTCTGCACTGGTTTGATTTGGCAGACCCTAAGAGGGGCTGGGCTAGTCATGGCCACCTAACTCATCAAACTTCATCTTTGTGTATTTCTCTACCCTCTGCCTCCCATGTTGCAGCTTGCCAGCTACAGGGATCAGAAAGAAAACTTCGAAACCAACCTAAAGTGAATTTATGCAACTTGTTGAGGAATCATGTTTCTCAGAAATCACCAGGTCTTTGACGATGCCTTTGCAGATTACAGTCTCACACTACTGAACTCTAGTAGGATCATTACAAACGCTGCCCTTTCACCCTGTTCAGCTTCACTGATTTTTCACAGTATAAATCATTTCAGAATTTTGCCAGTAATTTTTATCTGTTTCTGAAATGGCAGTAAGCAATGAAATGGCACAGCTCAACAGGCCTTGAAATAAACATCTGAGGGTAAATGAAGTTTTCTGCTGAAAGACACAATGTGTAGATTGGTTTTGCTGCTGAACATGATCTTTCCCCTGTTGTTAATAAAGCAAACTACAATCGTAAAGGAAAATTGTATTTATCTTACTGTCTAGAGGCTTTAATTCTTAATATTCTTCTCTGTTTAAATGTATCTATTACATGCATTCACTGAGCTCTGGGCATGGCAACATTTAGCACTGCTAATATATAGGAGGATTATTTAGTTATCTGCTTATCCTCGGAAGTGAAGTTTATACCTGTCGTATACTACTTGAGATACTTTTTCAATGTCATCGATGTGTTATTTTCACAAACTTGCAGCTCTGTCTCTTTGTTCAGCAAAGCAATTAAATGAATGCTCAACTGAAAGCATAGGTTTAAGCATCACTGAAGTTAATACTTTGACACTGCTTAAAATGTCTTTGGATCAATGCCTGGGAACATACAAACTCACTGTGTCATGAATGTATTATACCAGAAGGATAGCGATGTTGGGTGGCAAAGCTCAAAGCATTTAACCTCAGGTTTTAATTTTGGGAGTAAGTGATGTTTGATTTTTAATAAAAGGCATTAATTCAAGGAATTTCCATATTGAATCTAATCACCCAAATAACCTGCTTCCATCAGTCACTAATATTCTCTCCAGAAAAAGTTGAGGGAGAGTAAAACCCAGAAAAGCCTTAATCAGAGGAATAACGTGCCCAAAGGGGATTTTCTTCCTTAAATCTCATCAGTGACTGCACTTCACCTGGTTTTGTGGAGAGTACCTGAAGAGTTCTTTTATGCCTGGAAATGTCTGTTCTTTTTGTTTTCAAATCTTGCTCTAGTCAGTTTTGATGATGCCTTAGGGCATTAAGTTCTGCTGGCTACTTAAAGACCAAGTAGAAAAGTATTACCTTTCACTTGTTTTAAGTACCTTGCAAGTGGTTTTACTGTCTGTACCACTACATTTATCCTCGAAAGATAGACTGCCCTTTAGTATGTTTAGCGAGGGCTGGCATAAGACAGGCTTCTCTTATTCACCTCTTCTCTGAATTAGCTTTTTACATTTTCTCGTCAAATGTATCTAAATTATATTCGTTGTCTGCCTTTGGACTTATGTTTTTATTTAAAGACTTCTTAAGAAATACCTATTTCTGGTACAAATTTTTTCATATGGCCTGGTTCAAATGGAGGCCAAAGAGTATAATGGCATAAAAATACATTCAACTTATTTTTCCCTTTCCATTTCTCCTGAACCATAGTTCATTAGTTTCTCCTGATTGACAGCAAGCATTGGAGAAATGTTTGCATTGAGCTGTCCACTGGGATTTGCTGCCTTCTTTTTTCCTCCTGAACAGTACCACTTAAGTCCAAATCTGTAACTGCAGTCTAAATTATTCTTGTCCTGCATTTGTTGTCAATTAATATTATCTCCAAAATTTGCACCTTCAGCCCTCCAAAGTCACAGCCTAGTAGTTTTTGCATGAGGGAAGGCATGTAAACGTATAGTTGAACCTGTACTTATTGTCATAAAAGGTAGTAATACTCATAAATGGGTTTATTTGCTTGTTTAGTAGACATCTTTTAGTAAAGCATTTGAAGTATCTTAGGGTCTTTTACTGAACTTAGATATTTTTGTAGCAGCTATAACATAGCTGGAAAAAGTCTTTATTTTGCACCAGTTGCATGGCATAAGTTTGTTCTCTATAATTTTCCCTCAGCCTTTAAGTCCTTTTTCAAATTCCATAGTTCTCCCTCATTCTATCAACCTTTGTTGTTATTTTGAGATAGCAGAACAAAATAACTACTGCTCCTATTGAAAGATCATTTCAAACACCAGCTGTTTCCTACCTCATCAATCCATCCCTGAGCACTACCAAATTGTTCCTTTATGATTACCATATAAGCATAGAAAGTTCACAATGAATCAGAGAAGAGTGATGGATGTGTGTATACTTGTGCTATGGGTTTCAGTTCCCAGAATATCTGTTGACATATTCTGCTCTTCCATTCTTCTACTATGGAGCTTAACAACAGTGTAAGAAAAATTCAACACTTCATTTTTTTCAATGTATGATATATTCTAGAAGGCTATGTTTGCACTAGCAATTTAAGGAACACAAAAAGGGCCTTTATTCCTTCAAATTAGTCCTTTTGCTTAGTTCAGCCATGTAAATCTGCTTGCATCACACTTTAAGTATTCCTGAAGAAAGTGGCACCTGTTATGTTTTTGTTTGAAATAAATTTCTTTTGCAAAATGTAAGTGAAGCCAATAATGGAAAACCACAACGCACAGGTTTTACTAGCTATGAGAATATGATTTTTCAAAAGATTTTCCGGGCCAGTTCTTATACAAATTAAATATTTCTTCATCTAGAATCACATGTGTGATAGCAGAAGTGTAGCAGGAGTTACATTTACAAAATCAAATAATGTCCCAGTCACCTATAAGGACTGGGGGGAAAAAACAAAAATCACACGGAAACCTTCTTGCAGAATCTTGTCATTCTAATTGTATTCATGGTGTGATGAATAGAGACAGATGCTGAAAAACTGCAGGTAAAGCATGGTACACCTGGACAGTTTAAAATAAAAGGTTTCCCCAAGTAACTAATTTGTAAAACAAAGGTTTCTTGCTTAGTCTCTTCTGACTGTCATCGATGTGAGTCAGCTGAAGCAAACCTCGTCTTGTCACTGTGGATCAGGCAGCAAATTCTGCTCAAGATCCCTGAAAGTTCCTACACAATGAACAGAATGCTTATACACTCAGTTTTATCCAGTTTGAAGTGTCTAGGGCTGAAATAATTTCTGAATAGCTTTGAACAAAGATTTCTGTATTATATAAATGACTTAAAACTGCAATTGTAAACACTTACCATTTCATCATTGTTTATGGAGGTCCGGATGAGCATGGCCATGGAAATACCAGATTTTCGAGCTGCAAGTGTCTGTTAAAAGCAAATGTAAAACTGTTAAAAATTATACTAGTAACTCCAGTTGTTGAATCTAATGGAAGGCAAGTAGTACTTGATTACACTATTGGATTTAAGCAAGACTGTAGGAGTTACAAAAGCTTCTAGTTAATGTTTGTAGCACGCAACTTTTAAGGTTTCACTACATAATGAAAGCACAGTTTCCATCATCATTACTGTTTCTTTCAGCAGTGCCTAGCTGAGCTGCCATTTCTAATACAAAACCTGTTATTCAGAGGTTTATGACTCAGTTTTTTTAAACCACAGGCTGTCACTGTTTTTCCACTTTGCCAACCAAATTAATGTGGTACAAGGATAGGCATCCTGCCCTAATTTGGAAGCTGTCTGTGCCTGCAGCAACATGGGAGATGATTCTGCAATAGTCTTACGGTTCAAGTTGTCAGTCCGGATAATTTTTTGTAACTCACTGAACATTTTTAAACTGTGTGTATGTATATAAAATGCTACTTGTCTTAAATAAAAAGTCTTTGGGAAACCTAAAAGTAATTTTTTCCTTAAAGACAATATTCATTCATTACTATGAATAGCTATATGCAGAAATACTCTGGTTCTCAGAGAGAGAAAAAAGGCTGGAACTCTGTCTCAATCCATCCTCTTTTGCCCACATGATGTTAAGGGTATGTGAACACCTCCCAGCTCCAAAGACTACGTCCTTAGTTGCAGAGACAATCTCATTTGCTCTAGTATAGTACATACAAAGGCACTCAAAATAAAGTATTTTTAATATACAATAAAGAAGGAATTTTTCTCTTCCTTACTGCAATATCCCTGTAATTTAAATGGTTCCTGGAGAATTAATAGAGAATATAATGATCAGAAGGAAAAAGACCCTGGGGAAACGAGTTCTGTGTGGTTTCCAAATAATATTTCAACTCTGAATATCACTTCTGCTATCAGTAGTCCTTTTGGCCTGACAGATAAGATTTATTCCACTGTACAAAATATTAACTGTAACACTGTTATATTCCTGTATTTTACCTGCAAAATTGGGCTCATGCATCCTTCTCCCTATTCTAAATCATTCCAAGTGTGCCTGTATACTTCTGCTTTATCTCTGTTCTTCCGTAATCCAGCATCTACTTTGTCATACATTGCTGCCCTCATAGTCTAGCAGTGTGAGGATGACCAATTATACCACCCACTAACCATAAGTCTGTTGTTTTTGCTGTGAGGATACAGATTTTCACATTACTGTGAACTAGGTCTTCTGTAGTCCACCACTATAGAGCTATTATGGCAAAAGTTTCAATGATATTTTGCATATGACATTCTTATTTTTGTGCAATACATATTAGGTCAGAAGCAATTTAGGCTTACATCAGCAGAGGAACTGCATCATTAATCTTTGGATGGAGAGACAATTCCAATTTCTTCCCGTTTTATAATTTTAAACACTGACATAATTTAAATGGATTTTTTTTTAATGTAGAGATATTAAGACTGTTAATTTCAATTTTAAATGTTTACTTTCCCCTGAGAAGATACCCATTCAATTTTCAATAAGTTTCCCTTGATAATAATTAAACTTGCAGATAGACAGAAAATTATTAATCTTGTGAAACCAATTATAGGGTAAGAAGTCATCCTTGGCACAGAAATATTTGATTTGATTCATCACTGTCCTATTACAGTTAATATGGGATGCAAAGAACACCTTTTTTTTTTTTTTTTTCTTTTAAACTCTCAGCAGTTTACCAAGCCTATGCCATTAATTTGCTAACAGTTTTCCCACTCTGTTATTAATAGGTAAATAGTTCTGTTTGCTTCTCTGTGACCATCTTTTCCTTCTATGTCTGTGAATATGGGAAATTCCATTGGTGTGTGCCAGTGAGATTAAGAAAGTGACAGGAAAGATTAAACAGTGCCCAGGCTTTGCTTTTTCAAAATTTTGTGACAAAACCTAATGCTACGGGACCCACACACCAAAGTAAGAAATGACAAGCAAAAATGTGTGGGGAAGATCAAGAAGAAAAGCAACGATTTTCATAATCAGTAGAGTTTTAGGTTAAAAAAAGATTAATTTTAAAAGCACCCATCTTCTGACCCCTCTTGAGGCATAGGTTTCTTCTCAAAGTCTTGGAAAGTAGCTATTTACGTTTACTTGCCTGCAGTATGTTAGTTTTATAGTTTTGACCTCTAATCTTCATGCCCTTTGTATTCAGAAAGTGATTTGTTCCTTTTAGGTATAAAATACACAATCCTAGCCATTCCAGGCTATAGAGCAATGTGGACTACCTGTCAGGGCAGGAAAACCAAGGGCATAATAACATGAACCTTGAATATAGGGTAGTGAATGATACTGTGTTCTGTCCTCCAGCAATATACCAGTCAAAGCACATGAGCCAGCAGGAGAACCACAGTTCCATGCTATCAGTATAAGTCAATAAACAGATACTATTTCCTGTGAGAAAAAGGAAAGTAGGGAAGCAATTGTAACCCTGTCATGTGCCCTTGAGGGCCAGTTCTCCCAAGGGCTACTCCTGGAATCATGCAGCTTAACCATTTTTCTGCTTAATCAGAAATGAGTCTAAAATCATAGTACAGTGTCCTATATAAAATAACAAAGCCTAATAGGAAACAGATTATTAGGCTGTTCTTAATAAAGTGTTTGTCATGTTGGAAGGATAATAGAAGAACGTGATATCTAGAGGGATTTGTGATAAACCAGTAAAGTTAACAGTCATTATGGATTAAATTTACAGGGATTTTAGTGAAAAATACTCACAAGTATTATTTCCATTTATGTATGGCTGTCAGAATAAACTGCATCTTCAAGAGAGAGCCCATAAATAAAATGTTTCTGTTCTGAAATACTGTAGTTGGTGATAAGTCAACAGCTTGAAGCACTGAACAAACACAGAACTGTGTCTGTTCCTAAGGATGGAATGAAGTGAGGAGTGAGTATTTTGGAAAAAGGAAGGGAAAAATGCTGCCAGACTCATTTATGGGAAACAAGGTGACAGGTTATGAATGTAGCCAGAAAACTTTCCCCCCTACTGCCCTTCTGTTTTTAAATATTAGCAAGGAAGAAAGGTAAGTGCAGCTAATAATCTGGAGCCTCCAGGAAGGAAGTCCAAATTGCCAGAGCATCAAAAGAACAGGGTAAGCAACCGGAACCTGAAGCCTTTCACTACTCTCCTTTAACAGGACACAAGACTCGTTCAGCAGTTTACACTTCCTTACTGTCTCAAACTGACGTTCAGATACTACCTCATGTCTTTCCTTATATGAGAATTTGACCTGCGAATTGTAAAGATCTCTGTGTAGGTACTATTGCATCATGAACATATGGACAAACTTATTAAAAAGAAAAAAAAAAAAAGATGATAAAGCAGAACATTGTCTATTTAATTTTTAAATGTTTTTCCAAATCCCTGATACAGGATTTGAAGTAACTTAGTCTCCTTTGTGCTGAAGTCCTTGTAGACCCCCTAATACCTTGTATCTACACTATCTTATGTATTACCTCCAAATTTGCCTTAGCACTTAAATAAATAAATTAATATAATTAGAAGTCATTCTAGCAAAAACATTGGAAAGTGGTAACCATAAGTAAAAAAAATTGGACTCAAGCTACAATTAAATGTTAAATGAAAAATTGTGTGGGTGAAAAAAGAGCCACCTGCCATGATGAAATAAAAGAAAGCTGTGTTTTGAGCAGCTGAAGTGGCAGGGAGCAGTCAAGCTAATGTTTTGCAACTGTTCATGAATGCTGGCTGTGCCATGCAATACTCATTCCTCTGTTTTCACAGAGGGTTTCTGTTTTCCTATTCATCTTTTCCTTCACAATTTTTTTCTTTAAAAGAATCTATAGGCTGCTATCACCACGAAAAAAAAAAAAAAGTTGAAGACAAAATATTTGTTACCACTTTACAAATACTGTTATATTTTTAATGCAATGTAAAAGTTACCCACTAGAGGTGAATCTGTCAAAAAAAACCCCAAAACAAACGTTTTCAGCATTTAAAAGCTGCACTATTTTAGAAATGTTTCTTTTGAGCAACTACAGGTAATTTATCACTCTAGGAATCTTGAATTTATTATTGTGAAAGACAGATTTGTACCTTGTTGCTTGGGGGAGGGGGGGGGCGCGGGGGGACAGGAGGGAAGAAGAAATCACTCAAAAAGAACAAGGTATTGTCCAAAATTACTTACCCCCGTCCCATAATTTTTCAGTTAAAAAAGTTGATGTCTGATCCTGAAATGTTCAACAGAACTGCAGTATTAAGCCCAGAAAACAGATTTAGAAAGGAAATGGCAACTCAGCTGAACTACACAATCATTACCAGACACCACTGTAATACCATTTACTTTTTCTTCCTATTTGTTTTCATAGCACAGACACAAGGGCATGCTCCGCCTAGCCTCTAAGATCATTCTGAATATTAAGGTTAGTCAGAAATGGCATGGAAAACAACAAAACCAAAAAAGTTCATCACTAATTTCTTAATTTCCCCACAACTAATTCTTAATTCCTGGAACACATAGGAGTGAAATAAAGGAATGTAATCATATTATTATGATTTCCATTTAGTAGAATTAAAAAAACCCCACAAATATACAAATACTGTTTGATTATTTTTATGGTTTATCTATTTAATGTATGAATATTAAAATATTTAATCCAATTTGTCTATTAATGATTAAAGGAGTTAAAGGAGTTAAGAAAATGGACGGGACGAATAACAGATTCAATGTAAAATAGTCCAGATATTTAGCTTTTATCTAATGATTACTCTCAGAATGTACAAAAACTGAGAATGTGGCAGCTGCAATTTATATGAATGTCTTCAATCTTAAGAGTTTAAACTACCGTAAAGGAGTTCTAGCCTCTATAAATGCTTTTGTTGCAGAGACACACACATAAAAAGCAGTATCAGTGGATTATTGTTTTAGCTGAAATGGGCAGTTGTTTCATCTGGTATGTTCATTTCAACAGTATGAACCAAGCAGTCTGTTTTACAACAGCAGCAAAGATTCACAAATTATTCTTGTGTTGTAATGAAATGATAAAGCTAAGTAATAATACATGCTCGAATGAGCAAATGAAGAAATTTGCCTGATTACAGTGATTGTACAGTATAAAGTCACTTTTAAATCAAATGAACCCAGGAATTTTCTAGAGTTTTCATAACATTTAAAATGATGACTTGCATTAACAGAAGCAAAGACTAAAGCATAGCGAGACAGAAAAATAGAGCTAGCTACCGTTGTCTATGACTGGGCAGATCACCACACCTATGTGGCTATCATGAGTTAAGTACTTTTAATCTCCACTATAATCATTGCTATTCCTCTCCCTGGCTGTAGTCTCACCTCAAATAAAAGCTCTAACTAGCACAAAAGACAGAACACGTTTGTTTAAAAGTAGAAGTTACAGCAATTACATCAGCAAGTGCAGTGGACTCTTTTTACTGACTCCACATTAAACAGAGGTCTGTTCAAGCTCTCTGTATTGTTATTCAAACAGCTCTCTGTATTGTTACTCCACTTGAATGATCACTTCTGCTTTCATTGTTTTTCCCTCCTATACAGATATATTCTACTAGAACTCTAATAATGACCCACAGTGAAACTCATGACTGCAGCAAAGAGAACTGTTCCTGTAGATGGATTTTGACTGCAAATCATTAGTGAAAAAATGTATCTCAGAGATGTAGGAGAAAGAGAACTAATAAGCCTGCTGTTGAAAACTAGATTTTTCAAAATGTGGATTTATGGAAACAAATGGGAGTCAAAGATATCATCTTAAGAAGTTGTACATCATTTTGATAAACCTTAAATTGAGATACCATGCTGAAAGCATAAAAACTAATGCAGAGAAACTGGAAGTGCAAAGGGTCTAGGAAAATAAGGAGGGAACTTTACAAGTGCCAAAGTTGGTGGAAAATGAAAATATTTCCATGAGTCATTTAGTTATTAGAAAAAATTACACCATAGTACCTAAGAGTCTTCATTTGTGTTGGGAAATTCACCTTTACAAGAGAGGTAAAAGAATTTAATTGATTGATACAAGAGGATTTAAAAGTAGGGAACACCTTCAACTTCTCTTTATCTAGGTATCTAAGGCTGTTCAGTTCCACAGGGGAAGCATCATGATTGGGTCCTAAACAATCTGTTTGTATTATTAGAAAGGATATTTGGAATACATAGGTAACTTTTTAACATGAACTTTTTCTAATAATTTTGGCATATATGATGCAGAGAACAAGACATTCACATAAGAGACAACTTCACTTAGGATTAAATTCTTGGTCATAAAATACTTTTTCTATTTTCCAATAAAAGGTCAGCACAAAATATGACATTCATGAAATGCCTAAGAGTTATTATGAACATTTTAGAACATTTATCAGTATAAAAGCACTTACCATAGCCTGAAAAATCCAGCCGAGATAGGAAAGAAATTATAAAGAATATTAATAATTTGTCAGATTTATTGCAAGAAAAAAAAAAAGACATCAAATGATATCTATTTCAGTCAGTGCCAAAAGAGTCTAGCACTTATTTCTAGAAATATTATTTCTATATTTCTGAAACCATCATATAAGGAAACATAAAAAAAGATCATTTACAATGTATCAGATCTTACAAGGACTTGAGAATTAAGTTACTGATTTAAATGAGGTATTTTGGAATCAACCTATTACAAGCTCAGAGCTCACAGGAGATTGCTTAAAATGCACATACCTTCAAATAAAAATAATCTTTCAAAGATGAAGATGACCTACACTAAGTCTGCAATAAGTTCCTCTTAAGTCGGTAAAATTGTTTTAGATTTACAGCTGCAGAACTGAATTGTAATATAATTTACTATTTTAAAGAAGTATATAGTCAAAGAACATATAGTTAAGAGCTATACTCTAAGTCCATAATGATTAAATTCCAGAATAAATTTCAGTTTTATAACTCTGCAACTTCCACTTATTAAAGGTAGAATTCCTTCAAGAGAAGTGATCCTTCAATGACTGGGCAGCAAAATAGTAATGACTACAAAGTAATCATTGACATATTAGAACAATAAAATGAAAGTTTTATTCTACCATTCAAAATGTGAATTTTCTTTTTTGTTTCACTTTGATAATTGTTATGTTTTTCAAAGTGAATAATTAATATTAAGATTCTGATCTCTTAACTTTTTCTGAGCAATACCTGTCTGTAAACAGTTCCAACAATTAAGAATAAAGCAAGGTGCTATTTAATATGCATAAAACTATCATAATGTGTCTGTAAATTATACTCGTGTAATACAGCTTACAGTGGAGTAGCTGCTGTCAAAAAGATGGTTTCAGTGAATGCAGGCTCTACTATGTCATAAATTGCAACTTTTCATTGATTTCAGAAGGAATTCTATTCTAAAATGGTTGCTGCGCTTTCTCTTTGTGACCCTTCAGATAGCATGGTATATCACTGTAGAGTAATTGTACAGAGTAGCTGAGAATACATTGAGCAATAATTTGGCAAAGATGGATCTTTTAAAAACAGCTATAGTAATAATTTACTTTGGCTGACTCCCTTTCTTTACAACATGAAATTGGTTTAGGGGCTCACCACCACCAGAGACTAAACATGTATTTTATTGAATTATGAATTCTATACTTCAGGAAAAGAAAAAGAGAAATGTGAATGGCACTTAAAATTCTTCAGAGCAGAGAGATTCTATTTAATCTTGTTTAGACTGGAAGTCAGAATAAATCTCAAAGGAACTGCCATTCTTCTTGCCTTTCTGAAATTTATTTGCCTAGATTATTATTGTCTATGGCGACCGCTAAAATAACATACATCATCTTGTACCAAAAGTATGCATAAATCTTTAAAACATTCATACTGAAACAGGGTTGCTTTTTAACAGGAACTTTCTTCCTCCTTTAGTATCATAATAAATCAAGTCAATCTGTATCCCAAGCACTCAATAACAGCTGTCTTCGTAAGGTAATTCAACATGAAAATGAGTAATTTATTATTGCACAAAATGCACATTATTTGATTCCATAAGTAATATCTAAATATTTGATGAGATATTCTGACTTATCTAGTACATTATAACAACTGCATCATTGACTTACTGGCCTCAATCCATTCTCTCAACATACCTTTTTTTCCATAAAACAGTTGTTGACAAACTGTCGTTCACACACACAATAGCAATTACAAGAAAGATCTAGACAACTGACAAATGAATCATCAGTTTCCTGGCATCAGAAGTTACTTACCACATCTCGAACAATGGGAAAAGATTTCTTTCTACGCAGGTCTGGCATGCTATCAATTCCATACAGCCCACGGCCAGCACTGTAGGAGATGAAAAGGCAAAGAAGAAAATAAAAACCTGGGGCTTACAAGTTTGCATCCTTAAGACCTGCTTATAATATCCGTATTTACAGTTAAAGTCAAAATTAGCAGTTATCAGCTAAAGAAGGTAAGTGTTCTAATTCTTATGAAAAATGAACAAGAGTGTTCTTGGTGTGGCTAATATTTTCTCCTGACATTCACCCAAAGCAAAGAGTAGCTGAAAGGTTGTTTATTACCTCCTAAGACTTTTTACCATGGATTTAGAAATTATAACAGTAGCTTTTCATCAAAAGGACTTGTATATCTGACAGTTGAGATGAAGCCCAACATCGTACAGGATATCATTGTTGTCATAAATTTGATACAAAGAGTAAAATATCTAACTAAATACATAATCACATTTTCTCATATGAGTCCAGGTGACTGTGAAAAACAGAATTTGTCACATTTTAATATAATTCTATGGTGACCATCATTATTTCCTCTTGCCTGGTTTAAGCTTTTCCTTTAAGCACACATTTAAACCCATTAGATCTCACATACAACTTGGAAACAACAGCAAAGAACAACTTGGAGCCACTTCAAAGAATAAAAGGCTGACGCACCAGTAGGATTTAAAAGAATACATACTGATCTGGTAACAATATGCCTCATTCTCCCTGAATCTTCAGAATAAGTAATACAGGTATTATCCTCCTGCATTTTTGCCACAGTGAATGTTGGAATACCTTGTTAGATGTAACTCAGAAATACTCTAAGATTCTCAGAGAAGCTGGGATACCATATTTTTCAAGACCCAACATTTTCCCCTCCATGACCCTTCTGTTTGGCACTGTCTCAAACACCCTATTCAGTTGTTCTTATATTTCTGTCTCTATGGATAAAAAAAGTACATGTCACAGCAAACAGCTTCTCATCTGAAAGCCCTCATTTTATTTATACACCTTACAATTATTGGGTGAAAAGAGATTTACTGAAATTACTGACAGAATTTTCACTTCCTTCTGAAGGGTCAATACTTTGTCCCAAATACTCCTCTGCTGACTTGAGGATTACAACCCCTTGCCACTAGTAGAGCTGACAAATTCCATGATTATTTAAGCCAAGACTCTAGCTGGTGATTCCTGTTGGATATAGATGCTACAGTTCCACAGCTGCAGCTAAATTCAAAAGGAATTATGAATCAGAAGCCTCAGCTGTCACGACTTACAGCCTGGCATATTGATAAGAACTGAAATCAATGCTGGATTATGCCAATATGCCAGACTGTAACCAGTTCAGGGACAGACATTGCTCTACTCTGATACCTCCACTGCTAATACCTTCAATATGAATCAACGCAAGCCAACAGAACTCATAAATCAGAACTCCAAATGATGTAAGAGAAGTGAAATATAATAATAGGTGTTACAGAAAAGGACAGCAAATTAAGCAACCTATGAATTACAAACTATTAGAAGACTAGATGGCTAGGAGAGTATCCTAAGGAAATACCATCTTATGCTATGCTTACTCTTTTCTGACAATTTCCTAGGTATCTGCTTTTGGCCACCATCAGGAGAAGCAGGATGCTGGGCTAGATGGACCTTTGGTCAGATTCTGTATCACTGGGGTATTTTTGTTTGTTTGTTTTTTGGTTGGTTTGCTGCTGTTGGGGGGTTTTATTTGTTTGTTTTGCTTTTAAGGCAAAACCTACAATAATTTTTATCTCTCACTTGGAATAAAATGGGGTTCTATTGGGTCCCCTTACTATTGCACAGGCTTCTGGAAGAAATGGACACAGCAATAGACTGGCAGTATTTATTTCCATGCTTTACTTTCAACAGATGCGGAGCAGCAAATTTACTTTCTTGGAGTGCACTTGATAGGGGACTTGAAAAGTTCAGCTTGGGTGAAGCTTAACTGAACTAAAATCAGAGGAGAGGAAGGTAAAATGGCATAATGGCATCTACATTGTGGGAGGTATTTGTTCACCTTCTGTTCAATAATTCCCATACTTTGAAGTTCTGGTGAAACTTCTTTGGGAGTATCAGTACTATGGACAGGTCCAGCTTCTGATCTGCAGAGAAATGGGGGTGCTTACTGGCTCAAAGTCCTGTCTCTAAGATGCGAGACACAAGCACAGTTACACCATAAAAGAGCAATGAAATGAATAGAGCAAATCTAGGTTAATAGACTACTTAGTGGGCAGCTCTCCAAATAGAATGAATTGCAAAAGGAATTTGAGAAGCTATCCTTAAGGTCAAAGAATACTTTTACATAGCAAGGGACAAATTCCTAAGATGGAATAAAAAATAAACTTACAAAACCACATAGCGGAAACAAACATTTGGGGCAAAACTAATAGGTATTGTGGCATGGATAACACTGAAATCTGTGCTTTGGATGCAAGACATCAATTAGGATCAAGGAACCGTTAACTGTTAAAGCTAATACTAGAAATAATGAGTCAGAAAATACTGCTGCACGCTCCAGTCCCGCAGAATGTGTTACTGTGATGAAGCACTCATCACAGCTGCCAAATATTGAAACTCAAAAGTAAGTTAGATGTCATACATGGGGAACTGTTGATACACAGGTAAGTCTCATGGAGGGAACAAAGCCCGTTTCTCCTATCTTGTAATAAACAAAGACACTCTGAACATTGTTTCTCATATGGATTTTAAAAGATTAAATATAATGTTCAGGATCATATACACGTTCATTTAATCTTGTAGTTCTACATACCTGCAAAGACCTTGATAAAGATCTCCCGATATTTACACTGATATACACAAGAATCAATCCCCAAATTGGTGGGTTTAACTTTAAAAAACCCTACGGAGTCAAGAATCTTTCTCCACAAATTCAAACAGGACTGAAATTTAATTCTAAAAGCCCCACAGCAGGCTCTCCCAACACCATCAACCATTTAGACTTCAAAGTTCTTTCCTCTCTCTTAATAACTTAGTATCATTTTTCATATGGTGCCGAAGTTAGATGATGAGAATGCAATGCTTTTTTCTTTTTTTGCAAATAAATATTAATAAATGTTAACGTTTTTCCATAAATTGTATCCCTTTCCCATTAGTTAAGAAAAAAATAATCACATTTCACTATTACAAAGCAACCACTTGTTTCACATAGCCGGTAGGAGTAAAGCTGGAACCATGCAAGTTAATGAAAATAATTATGAGACAGCCACATTGTCTGAAGACCCGTTCAGAAATGAAGTGATGCTTTCATCCTTAAGCTGCATATTGTTATTAAAAAAAAGCAGACATTTGGCGTTGGATTAAATTACTTTATCCTGAGAGATGCCAAACCTCTTCAGGCCATTTTCTCCAAAATGGCACTCAGTATTTTGCATAACATCTCTTGGCACTGTGCAGGATTGAGTCACAGATCATACTCAGATTAAAGTGAAGAATAAGATTATAAATTGATTCAAAATATTGCTTTCATAAGAGACTACGTCAAAAAAAAATCAACATCTTTAGAAGTTGAGTAAGGTGAAAATGCTTATGGGTGTTCTTTCTCTGTGATGTCTTCAAGTTATGAGGTGCTTTGTTGTTAATAGATAAGCTCTTGCAGGAAGTTTCTTAAGTTGTATGTCATTAATTGGCATTATACTTATGGGATGTATTGTGGGAATACTCTGAATACTCTTTAAGGTCTGTGAAAGTGAGTTTATTTCCAGATGAAAATAATGATGAAAATGAAGAGGTGAGGTTTCACTGTTTTGTTTTTTAAATCACTCAGTATTGAACATACATTTTAGGTTATTGGGATACTTCATTTTCCTGAAGTTCTTAGGTTTATGTAGTATTTCAGATTAGATGAGTCTGTTTTATAGCATAATTAAACTTTTGTAGTTAAATGTGATAAATAAAACACCTAGGCAGCTTTAATAACTTAGAATGCTGTCTGATCTCATGAAAATTGAGATGAATTTTTTGAAGATTGAACTAGGGGGTGAGGAAGGGAAGAAGAAATGTATCATTGCTGCATATGATAATCATATAATATAGCCAGTGGCTTTGTAAAAACATAAAAATGGAACCATGCAAGTTAATGAAAATAATTATGAGACAGCCACATTGTCTGAAGACCCAAAAATCCACACTTGGGTAGCAATACATAATTTTTGCTGGAGTGGAAAAATGAAATTGGAGATCTAAAATTGTATATGAATACTGGCAGAAAATTCCAGCATTATAAAAGTAATTATGAGATTGGATTTACAGTTTTTCCTGGTCCTCGGTATATTAAAATGCCACCAAAGAAATACCTAGCACTTTCTCTGAAAATGAAAGTTGGATTAAAAGAGTCTTATAATATGAGCTAAAAACACTATATTAAGAAATGAAAAAAATGAGCCAAATCCCTCCATAGAAGAAAACTTGTTACCCTGGCCAATTCAAGAAGCTTTCAGAAAATTTTGGGGTAGACTAGACTATACTAAAGGACTATATCTACTCAAATTTTGACAGACTGTGCTAAAATGAGTAGGCATATTAATGTAATGAAGATTTTGAAATTACATTTGTTAATCATATTTCTATAGTAAAGATATGAATTAATCACATATTAGGATATATTGACAGATGCTCAGATTCTGATTGAGGCAGCAAAACTTTGTGACTTTGTGACTACGCTTTGAGCCTCCCTCTGTTGCCTTCTGATCACAAATCTGTTGAATGCTTCATCCCCAGGTGTAACCTAAAGCAGAGCAACTGTGCTAACAGGTCTCTGGGGCCATCTCAGCTTTTGGAAAAAATAAAGTTGCTTGCAAAGAAGTTCTGACCTCATTTCTCTTTCCTATCATGCTTCTTGTCACATTACAGGGAGATGATGCTAGCCAACTAAAGCCTCGGGCAATGTGGCCTCAAAGCGCCACCGTTTCAACATGTAAACTTTTTTTCTTTATTTTTTCCAATATTTTGAAAAAAACAAAAAAAAACCCAAAAAACAAAACACCACACAAAACCCCCCAAAACATTTAAATTATTTCCTAAGGC